CATATTCATGCATATGTAAGCACACATTCATGCATGTGTATGCACAGATTCATGCATGTGTACGCACAGATTCATGCATGTTTACACACAGATTCATGCATGTGTAAGCACAGATTCATGCATGTGTATGCACAGATTCATGCATGTGTACGCACAGATTCATGCATGTGTAAGCACCAATTCATGCATTGTAAGCACAGATTCATGCATGTGTAAGCACAGATTCATGCATATGTAAGCACACATTCATGCATGTGTATGCACAGATTCATGCATGTGTACGCACAGATTCATGCATGTTTACACACAGATTCATGCATGTGTAAGCACAGATTCATGCATTGTAAGCACGGATTCATGCATGTGTAAGCACCAATTCATGCATGTGTACGCACAGATTCATGCACTTGTAAGCACCGATTCATGCACGTGTAAGCACCGATTCATGCATGTGTATGCACCGATTCATGCATGTGTACGCACCGATTCATACATGTGTATGCACAGATTCATGCATGTGTAAGCACAGATTCATGCATGTGTAAGCACAGATTCATGCATGTGTATGCACAGATTCATACATGTATAATCACAGATGCATACATGTGTAAGCACAGATTAGTGCATGTGTAAGCACAGGTTTGTGTAAGTGTATGCACAGATTTATGCATGTGTAAATCAGTTTCATGCATGTGTAATATTGTTACATATTCATAACTGTCTGATACTTTAAGATTCACTGGAGCTGAAAAATGTCACTAATTTGTGGGAAATGTTATTTCTTAATATATTTAAAAAATTCATAAATATGTCCTCATATGAATCATCAAAAACATAACTGGCTTTAAACCTTCAATTTTTACCATATCGTATGAGTTTGTGTTGTTGATGCAGATGTAACGAAAAAGCAATGTGTTGAGTTTTAAAATGGTATGCTTAAAAAGTATTAATTTAAGTGTCCTTATGTTAAAAATCTAAATTTTAAAGTATCATAAGAAAGAAGCTTTCATGTGAAATGTGAATCTTGAATGCCAAAACATTTGCTTTCAAATAATGAAAGGAATAAACCAACGGCTCTCATTTGTTCTAGATGAGTTGATATTTCCAAGTTGTCAACATCCCAACATTGATGAGGTGACGAGGATCAACGTTGTGTTTATGGATTTCTTCAATGTGGAATGGACTCCACATGAGGACATTCTTAACATACCAATTGTACTTGACTCGCTCAACAAGTCAGAAACGGTATTTCAAATTACTTATCTCAAATTGTGGACCAAACTGCGCTAACTACTCTTGTTTCATTACTTTTGCTATATCGCTATCCATATTTAATCCTAACATTTTCTTTTTGTAACCAGTTTCTCTTACAGAGACATCATCAACATGTCTATAATATTATCTGTATGAACTTGTTTTACCAGGTTCTGAAAGAGCTACAGTTTCCTGTCAGTTTTCAAAGTTTGCTTAAATCCACTCCAACTTTGAATGCACTAGAGTCCAATGGTGTCCTTCTCAGAGTTGCCTGTCTAATGGGTATGTTATCTTATACTGTGTGTTTAAATTGTTTGGCCATCTAGTTTTCTTGCAATTGTCTTTATCCCATATTTCTCAGTTGAGTCAACATAGGATAAGCTTAAGAATAATGTATTATGTGATTTTTTCAATTGCCGTATAACACGCACCTCAATTTAAGAAGGAAATTTCAGAGAAAAAAACTAAACATTATATTGGCGTATAACACGCACAATTGATTTGCCCCCTATTTTTGGGGAGAAAAAGTGCATGTTATACGCCAATAAATGCAGTAATATCCTATTTTTTTCATTTCCCCCATATCAATTTTGAAAGTTAAAATCAAATTTCTTTCTTACTTACAAATAACCATTAGTTAACCAAAGGGACACCACTACCATGTATTTGAAACTTCCTACTCTAAATACATTATTCAAGACACTGCTATTTTGTTGTTGTAAACATTAGCCATCGTGGACCTTTTCTCTGTCATGGATGTGCTGGACAGTATTCGTACACTGAATGGCCAAGGCATAGGATCCCTAGTGGTAGGCTATGCTGATGGCTGTCTGACCAGGGTCCAGTGTCTGAAAATTGCCATGGTCATCGAGAGGATGCTGGTGCAAGAAAATGCTAAACATGAAGGTTTCTTTTGTTCCTATTTTTAGTAAACAAAGTTTAAGTTGATAAATGATTGTTTTAATTGTTTTCTATTTAATTAAACCAACAGATCAACTTTTAACATTGAATTTTGGTAATGCTGTAATGCCTACACTTGTACGTGTTGTGACTTTATCTGGCATCAAACAAGCCTTGTGCTCTGTTATGAGTTTAATTCTGCTAAAATTTTTAACATATACAAATTATTGGCTCTCCATCAAGTACAATATTTTATCAATATAAAGTACAGGTTAGGTGTTATAACTTCTGTTACAATATAAAGTACAAGTTAAGTGTAATGACTTCTGTTACAAAACATAAAGAACAAATTAAGTGTTATGACTTCTCTTACAACATGAAGTACAGTTTAAGTGTTAAGACTTTTGTTGTGTTGTTCAAAATATTAAATTCATTATTTCAGATACAACACTTCTAAAGGTCAACCTTGATGTTGACAGTCTGTATACTTTAGGACCTTGGGTTCAGATCTTGAAATGGTCATTTGGAAATGGACAGTTGATAGCTGTTTTACATAATATGAAAGACCATGTCATTCAGACACTCCAGGAAAAGGGTAAAACATATTTTAGATGATTATATATATTTTAAAAAATTTGGTTCTAAAGATCAGGCTTGTGAAACTATCGGACTATGGACCAAATCAGACTCTGTTTTAACCAGTATATCAGATTCAGTTTATCCAGTAAATCAGACTAATTTTTATTCAGTAAATCAGACCCACACTTTTATCCAATCGGCAGAAAACACATTTAATCACATAAGGGGTATACAAGTTTTTAACAAACAGTTTCAACAAAATTTTGTTCAATATATAATCATTTAGTTCGCAGGGGTCGCCTAAGACCACCTGAAAACAAATATACTCTATAGTTACGAAGTAGCAACGAACTGTATTAAATGGTTAACTACCATGAGCCGGTGGGAGCGGCTGGACATTTCTTTTGTTATGGCCACGAGCCGCTGGTAGCGCCAATGTTTGTATCGAAGTAAATCTACTCATATAGTTTTATTATTTCCGTTCCCGTTTTGCTTCGAGATTTTAAAGTACCGACAGGATGTTTATATTTGAACCGCATGCTATTGGCAGAATGTTTTAAAAAACGGGTTGTTTATTAATTTTGATTTAATTTCCAAGCTAGTTACAAAATTGTACTACTTGTTTACCATGGCAACAAGTGACAGGGTTACTATAGGCATAAGTGGTTGGTAGTGTAAATATTATTCAATATCTGTGTTCTTTGGTTCATTTTTCTTATTATTGGATATACTATTTGGAAACTACGAAACAAAAGGCTTTAAATAATTTGGAAATTTAAAATTTGTCACATTTATTTAAATTTTTTTCAGTTGTAAATACTAATTTAAAGATGAATAATTTCCCAACAAACCTTAACTTTACAAATGCTATACATTTATCTTATAGAAAATTCAGTTACCTACAAATTGGTTTATGAATCATTAGAATATCTTTATAATTAAGAAAATTGCAGCTGAATTTGTACATACACCTAAAATGAGAAATTGTGACCTAGACTTAATTCAGTCACATCGGGTTTTTCAGCAGTTAATCAGTTCAATTGTCCCGACATTAGGAAGGTTGAGAAGCACTGATTTAGTTGATTATAAATATTTTAGGAGCATAATTTTACAAATTCTTTCTTACTTAACAATGACATTTGAGCAGCATGTTTCTGTTTTTGTTAAGACTTTTAATCAAAATTGTTTTCCCTAGGAGAGCCATATGTAGTGCAGACTGGCCACATTGCGGTCTACTCCTCACAGCTGAAACATCTGGAGCAGCCACTGATGAAATCCATCTTTGAGATCATCCCCAGTCCCATGCTTTGGTCAGTACTAGAAGGCAACTGGTACATTGTCTCCACTAATCACACATGATTAACTGGTTAAATTGGATTTTTATTTATCGAGTGGAAATAGAGTTGAGTCGAAGATACTTAAACTAAATTAAATGTGATATGGTAAATGGAAAATTGTATTCTTAAAGTTTGTATTCAATATATGTGGGAGGGGGGGGGGGATGTCTTAGGGAAGGAAGGATTTCCCGGGATCCAGCTTGAGAAATTATTTTTTAAATTTTTTGCTGTAAAAGTATTAGTTTGTTTTTGTCAAACATAACATTTGTAATGCATTTATAATCAGGATGATTCAAAGTAAAATGCATTTTGCCATTTGGGTTAACAGAAACTGGAATTACAACTAGTCATTTTAAGTTATTTTTAGTCTCAAATATTTCTACTACTCTTATGTTTAAATTGTGCTTCTTGTGAATAAAGAAACTCAATGGAAACTTAATATTATTTTCTGTTTATTAAAAAACCATAGCTTCTGTGGTCTTTTGTAAACAGTTCAAATTATCTGGTAAAATGTTTCCCCCTTGTAGGTCAGCCAGAGTGGAGATTCCCCAAGTCAAGAAAAGGGGAAATGATCTCATCTTGTGTGATGCAGCCTTCTTTGCAAAGCTACTGACCTCCCCTTACTTAGAAGAAATTGAGCACTGTCCCTTCTCTGCCAAGTTCCTGTCACCACAAGACCTTGACCATGCCAGTTCCGAGTTTAAAAACATAGAATGTTCTAGCTGTGAGACTGCCAGCAGTGATAATTCATTGAACTGCTCCACACGTGCTACGTGCGGCTCTCTGCCCAGTGAATCGCCTCACAGCAAACACAAAGCAGGTTATGGAATGTACAGTACTGTAAACCCGAGTTCAATGATGTTTGACCTGGACATCCTGGACGACGATGAGTTGGATGAACAGCCTGATGAGAATCAGATTTGTGATTCAATGACTTTTGTACTCTTTCTTGACCATCCTGAAACACCACCCAAATTGACCACACCTTATGAGGAAAAAATGTGGATGTTTAAAAGAAATTCCAGGTCACGCATGAAAGGCTCAGAAGCTTTTGGTGAAATTATTTCAATAGGAGCCCATCAACTTGGTTTTCTCACCACCCTTGGTCATGTGCATCTCACAGGTCAGACTTCAATTTAAATTGCCTCAGTCAATGTTGATGTAATCTTTATAAAAATGACAGTATCTTTGGTTCTACATAAAAAAAAATTTAATAAAAATATTTCTCTTTGCAAATTTATCTGTTGACTAAGTAAAGGTCTGTCCTTATTCTCCCATTCAAAATTGTGTAAATTATGAGTTGTTAAGTAGTTGTAAGCATAAGATTAGTTCTGACACTTGAATCATTTAAAACTCAGTGTTGTGTTTCAATTGTTTCCTCTGCTGTGTACAGTGATTGCTTGTTATCCTTTTCTGACAGGCTTCACTGTTCAAGCCGTCCATCAGCTGGTCAACAAAGATGAAATATATGATTATTGTGGTGACTTTCCCTCGCACAAACTTTGGGCCTGGCTTCACACGGGGAAAAGTGGAAAGTTTGAGTGGGGGCTGAAACAGCGTACTCGTGAGTATTGGTCTAATCCTCAGCTTTCCAACAAGTGCATCATTTCACATCACAGTATTTTAGCTTAGCTGGCTAACTAGGGGAAAAATAAATCTCTAATCAGTGATGATGGGGCTTACAATGATAACAGGATGTACAGCAGCACATCTCATGAAAACCCTTTTTTTTAAAGCATGTTTCCCTGGTGATTTGTTGTTGGCAATAAAGTTTTTAAAATTTTTGTTATAGAATCCAGGAAACAAGGTTTTGAGAACTATAGCTTTCTGTTGGCTCTTAGAGTAAGGTACAAACAGAGAATACAAAAGAAGAATTAGAAGGAAAAGTTGAAAGAAAACACAAATAAAAACTGAGAAAAAGAACAATATCTGAAACAATACCAAAAGAAATAACATGTTATTAAATGCCCTGAATAACATTGAATTACACTGCTACATAGCTCTGCTCCTACAGGTCATGAAAAATATACTTGATTAACAATACAGATGCATGATGACCCTATAGTAGTACCTATTGTACTAATGGCTATTGAAATTATTCTTTTAATTATGTTTATTTATAAAAGAATTCATGTGGCATGGTTTAACTGGTAGTACGTACACTGTCTTTACATTCAGAATCAGTGTGAGATGAGAGGGCTAACATACAGGTCTTGAAATTACTATTGTACTGTCAAACATTTGTGGTGGCTACTTAAGATGCACACATGGCAGGACAGTTATTACAATTTTATAAGTATAATAACCGTTGTATCAAACGCTGTGTATTTTTTAACACTTAGATACTATTGTATCAAACGCTGTGTCTTTTTAACACAAAAGCGTTGACAGTATGACTAACTGTATTGATACAGCTGTTAATACACGCCTTACGCAACCACCATATCCTATGTGGGAGTTTAGCACATGGCAGGATATTTACTTCAATATTATCAAGTGTCATTGCTGATTGGATAATGTTACAGGGCACTATGTGTAATCAGAATTATAAAACGTTTAGTATTATGCTTGCGTACACAAAAGTTTCTAATTCAGTGTAAGAATTCAGCGTACGGCTGTATGTTTAACCATCACAGTATCATCGTTATGAGTCAATTTTATGGAGCTAACACAAGTAAAAAACACTGCCTATTATAAGTAATGAACAGAAATCGTTCTTTACTAACACCTAACTAATTCATTCTACAAACACATGGCTACAAAAGTCGCGTAGCCTGGTCTACTTATAGATCGTCCAGATGGCTGGACAGGGAATAACACAGAGTGCGTTGTGTGCTCAGGTCAGCTCTAAAAACAGCACATAATTTCCCCATGGGCACTCTCCCTATAAGTAGACACAGGCAGAAATACCGTAAAAAAACTATGTAAATCATGGACCAAGTATGTTTGTGGACTGTCTTCTCAGCTAGGAACTTGATAAAATTTACAATCCTTAAAGACTCAAACCGAATAAAAGTGAAAACCCCAAACCAAAACCCTGAAGATTTCTATGTGCCTGTTCATGTTTAGTCTCGGCAAAGTGAGATACACCATTACATTTATATAAGTTAAATGGTCTTTGAGATGGGGTTGGTACCCCCCATGGATCAATGTGAAATACCCTTAATTGCCTAATATTAAAATTCCTGTTAAAGATGTAGACTTGCAAATATACTAAGATATAGATAATCCCCTTTCCAGGGAGATATAATTTATAGTAGTGCTTCGTTAATTAAAGATTGATTGATATTTTGAAATTCATACACGTATACATTCTGCATACATTGAAAAATGAAGTGGGGGAAGTATCAATATTTACATTCTTTTTGTACAAAATGAGATCAGCGTGAATGTTAATAAATAAACATCTAAAGAATACTTTGGCTTTTAACATTTTAATTTAAAAATAATTAAAATTTCTTTAAAATGGTTTTTAAAGCAGTATGGTAGGAGAAAATTTGGAAAATTTAGTTTTTCAATATAATTACAACCTAGAACATATACCTACAATAATTATTGTGGCTTTAATAGAGCCAATTTTCACCTAAAAATCAGTTAATAAGGCTATTAAAATATCACCACAATGTTTCGCGGTTATCGTCATACTAATAAATGGCTGGTAAGATATCACTATATTAATATTTAGCCTAGTACCAACACATTAGTGTTTCCGTGCTGGTGATGTAGTTATTTTGTTTGGTGACCTACCTCCCTCACCCCTATTGGTGGAGGGAAAATAATTTTTAACCGGGTCTCTTAAAATTTTTGCTCTAATGGGTCTCGATGGAGACTTGCAAAAGACATCTAAATTGATGGCAAAAATCATAAAAGTAAACAGGTCTTCATTAAGCTTACTACATAATTATTATATGAACCCGTGATACATGTGTTATTTCTAAATTAACAATGTTAATTAGGATGATAATGATGAATTTCAAGAAATTAATGCATTGAAAAGTCTAAGTTTACTTTAAATTTTTTTTTTTTTAAAATAAAACAAATATAATAATAGAAATATTATCATTCTCTAGAATTATTCAATATTATTCACCTATGCCTATGACAACATTGATAAGCATGATAATGATAAATCAAAATGAATATCACAAATTAAGGAATTGAATTAACCAAGGGTTCCAAATTTTTATTTTTGAAAAAATTAAAACAAAAATAATAAACTTGTCTAGGCTAAATAGAAAATTAATTTTTTTGGAAACAAAGGACAAGTAGGTCATCATGCAGCTGAGAGCAGTTTTCACAGATTATTAGTTATATAACATAAGAAAACAGCAAGGCGTTGAGCAGTAATGAATATCGCATTGCCAGCCTAGAGACACAAAGTCTGACTTCTGGTAGATAACCGAAAACCTCAGTCACTATCGGCCAGATGGCCAAAAATGTCAGTCACTTTCGGCAGGAACCGAAATTAAATATAAAGTTAATTTTTCTGTTTCAGCCAAAACCGAAATTAAACCAAAAGTTTACTTCTCTGTTTCTGCCCAAACGGAAACTAGGAAGATACTGATCAAATGGTGACTTTCAGCACCGAAGCCGTAAATGGGTCGGTCTCTAATCCCATACTGTTTTCTTCTCACAGAGAGTCCGGGATCTATTAATTTTTCTCTTGCCATTCTCCTCTTAAACCTTAATCTTCTCTGTGCCGAAATTCCATATTGGTCTTATTTTAAAAGGGCCTTTTCAATAGCATGTTCCACCAAGTGACAGTGTTTCTTGTGCAGAAACCATCTTATGGCCTCCAGGTTGGTCAGCAGTAAAGCCTTTAGTCTTTGTAAGATTAACTTCCTTAAGCAGATCAGCCCAAAGGTAACAGATAAACATGAAATCACAGAAAGCATGTAAAAGAGCTTGTGCTGTACCTCTTGTATCTAATTTTTCCAGATGAACACATAGAGCTGCAGTTGCCGCCACACTTTCATCAAACTCATCTTTCTCTGTTTTAACAGCAGCATGACGAACACTCCAACTTGTTTCTTGACAGTCTTTTCAGCGACATTCCAGTGTGTTCAATTAAAAGTTCCATCGATGATTGGATGCAGCAAAGAAGGAAACTATTCTCTCAAGAGAACAGAAAAATATAACGCATGGAGCATTTTTGACAAAAGCGTGCCATTTACGAAAGTTACTGAAAACTTCAATCGACTCTGAATCATGGTCAAAACAGTGTCTTTCTGATCTAAATTATAGGGTCATCTCATTTCTGACTCATCAACCTAGAACTTTTAATAAACCACGCATTTGGATCGGTTACATCATCTCATTTCTGACACATCAACCTAGAACTTTTAATAAAACAAGCATTTGGATCGGTTACACGTGTGGAAAATATATGTATGATGGGTTATCCTTTTATGAAATTAGGTTAGGCCGAGCAGTGTGGGCTCTGTATATTTTCAATTTTACAAATTGGTGTCACCCCTGAGATGGTGTCACCTGGTGAGGTCCGCACGCCCCCTAGCTACACCACTGTCCCTGTCATCTCACTGATCAATCTATCATTCAATAAATATTTCAACATTATTTTATTCCCTATGAGATGAATCATTAAAACAGAACTCTTATCGGTTGCAGATAAAGCTCTGAGAAACATTGTCGCTAGGGAGTTCCTACCTTCAGATTATCCATTGTATCACAATTGTGATACAGAAATTATCCGCGCCATGTTTGATTTGGTCACTGATCATTTTGATGTCGTAAGTAGATTTAAATTCTTTAATTTTATATGGTTGTAGACATAATTATGGACACTGCATACTGACAAGATGTCATGACACATTTAACAGATTTAACATGGTGTGGACACATTTATGTTGACTAATTATAAAAGTATTGACTGCGATGAAGCTTTAAAATAGATTAATAATACACAAACAATTCCTGTCAATATAACAATGTATGTTCAGCTTTAATAATAATTTGACATAATACATATGTAAACATTTCGGCAAATGCCTTCATCAATACGGCAACAAAACATTTAAATACGTATAAATTAAATGTACATAATATATTTATTTATACATGTATCCTACCTAAAAAATAGAAAAAAATTGTAGTGGGCGAAAAGCCCAGACAAAAACTAAGTAAAGAATGACGGAAAGAAACTACCTTATGGCACAATACGTGGGCACTGTTAAAGGAAATCTACATTATGACAGTATTTAGACAGTTAAAAAGATACTACATTGTACTGTAGATATGTAGACACAGTTAAAAACACAACTACCTTGTATTATAGATATGTAGACAAGACACACCTACCTTGTACTATACATATGTGGGCACAGTCAAAGACACACTACTTTTTACTATAGTATAGATATGTGGACACAGTTAAAGACACAACTACCTTGTACTATAGATATGTGGACACAGTTAAAGACACAACTACCAAAGGAAATATGCTGGCCATACATATGCTGTAATGTATTTATAATTTTCTTTCAGGAATTGAAAGGGGGGAAAGTCCTTTATTTTGACCATGTCAAGGTTATTGACATTGACTACAAACGTGGTCCAGGACGAAAATTAGGTGACATCTTTGGCCGAGTCTTCCACCAATCACAGGAGTTTTGTGTAGAGAGAGGTAAAATTCCTGGATACGTTTTCTAATTCTGTTAACTTGTGTTGCGTAGTGTAGATCAATGTTAAGGGTTTTTTTTAAATATCACATACACAGTCTAAATAATTCCACTTTACTTAATGAGAACAGGCATGGAAGTAGTGATGAAATGTTATGTAAACCTCTAGAACAGGCATAGAAGTAATGATGAAATGTTATATAAACCTTTAGAACAGGTATGAAAGTAATGATGAAATGTTATATAAACCTTTAGAACAGGTATGAAAGTAATGATGAAATGTTATATAAACCTTTAGAACAGGTATGAAAGTAATGATGAAATGTTATATAAACCTTTAGAACAGGTATGAAAGTAATGATGAAATGTTATATAAACCTTTAGAACAGGTATGAAAGTAATGATGAAATGTTATATAAACCTTTAGAACAGGTATGAAAGTAATGATGAAATGTTATATAAACCTTTAGAACAGGTATGAAAGTAATGATGAAATGTTATATAAACCTTTAGAACAGGTATGAAAGTAATAATGAAATGTTATATAAACCTTTAGAACAGGCATGAAAGTAGTGATGAAATGTTATATAAACCTTTAGAACAGGTATGAAAGTAGTGATGAAATGTTATGTAAACCTTTAGAACAGGCATAGAAGTAGTGATGAAATGTTATGTAAACCTTTAGAACAGGCATGGAAGTAGTGATGAAATGTTATGTAAACCTCAAGCAGGAATGAAAGTAGTGATGAAATGTTATGTACACCTCAAGCAGGAATGAAAGTAGTGATGAAATGTTATGTAAACCTTTAGAACAGGTATGAAAGTAATGATGAAATGTTATATAAACCTTTAGAACAGGTATGAAAGTAATGATGAAATGTTATATAAACCTTTAAAACAGGTATAGAAGTAATGATGAAATTTTATATAAACCATTAGAACAGGCATAGAAGTAATGATGAAATGTTATATAAACCTTTAGAACAGGTATAGAAGTAATGATGAAATATTATATAAACCTTTAGAACAGGTGCATGAAAGTAGTGATGAAATGTTATATAAACCTTTAGAACAGGCATGAAAGTAATGATGAAATGTTATATAAACCTTTAGAACAGGTATGAAAGTAATGATGAAATGTTATATAAACCTTTAGAACGGGTATGAAAGTAATGATGAAATGTTATATAAACCTTTAGAACAGGTATGAAAGTAATGATGAAATGTTATATAAACCTTTAGAACAGGTATGAAAGTAATGATGAAATGTTATATAAACCTTTAGAACAGGTATGAAAGTAGTGATGAAATGTTATATAAACCTTTAGAACAGGTATGAAAGTAATGATGAAATGTTATATAAACCTTTAGAACAGGCATGAAAGTAATGATGAAATGTTATATAAACCTTTAGAACAGGTATGAAAGTAATGATGAAATGTTATATAAACCTTTAGAACAGGTATGAAAGTAATGATGAAATGTTATATACACCTTTAGAACAGGTATGAAAGTAATGATGAAATGTTATGTAAACCTTTAGAACAGGTATGAAAGTAATGATGAAATGTTATATAAACCTTTAGAACAGGCATGAAAGTAATGATGAAATGTTATGTAAACCTCTAGAACAGGCATAGAAGTAATGATGAAATGTTATATAAACCTTTAGAACAGGTATG